TCAGCCCAAAGCTAACGCTCTACCACTTGAGCCACAGCGCCACTTCCGGCTTTTTTCTTTTTGCTTATGTGGTGTTGAGGAATCAAACCCAGGGTCTCAGGCATGCAAGGCAAGTGCTCTACCACTGAGCCACCTTCCCAGCCCCTAAAAATAAATTTTTGAAATGCCTATCTTAAGTTTTCCTATACCTATACTATTCCTTTGACATACGGTTGTCAGATTGTCAGTTTTGAATTGTTTTGAATTGTACCTCAATTTGTGCTTGTCCAAGTTATTTACATGTTTTGCTTTTGCTTGAAAAGAAAATAGTAATCATTTCCAAAAAGCTGAGTGTCAGTTACTTGGAAGCTTGTTGTTCAAGGCAGTTGTTTCTCTCCTTCAGTCAGCAATGAAGTATGCACGTTTCATATTTCATCATTTACACTCTGCAGATATAGGTGGGTACTTTTTGTTTTTACATCTCCAGGCAGTTGGTTCAGATTTATGTAGATATGTGAATTGGCAGGTGGCTTCCTTCACAGGTAAATACAAGTTGGTTACATTTTTCTCTTATATCTGCATAAAAATTTGCTTATCACTTACACCAACATTTGGCAGATCCTATACTTAATAGCTCTACTGCTCATGGGGCAGGTTATTTGTACTGCCCCCCCACACACACACCCTGAATAACAGACAGACCACACTCCTTCAGTTTGGTAAAATATCACTTGGCTTCAGTGTCATAAACAGTACTGAAGAAAAGGGAGCCACCTGCGGAGTGCGGCCCGTGCTGCTCCTGGGCTTAGTGCTGCCTTTTCTGTGACAGGAGGACTGCTTGCTCTGGCGTTTACCTGGTGCCTGCCAGACTAGCCACTTGATGTGTTTGGAGTGAAAGGACAGATGAGAATTTCAGTTATTTTAGTGCCAGCAGTGGTCTACCTTGCCATTTGCCATCTGCTTAGTTTTTTTAAACTATAGGAATGCTCTATTGAGTCTCAAGCCAAGTTAGGGTCATTTTATTTGTTTTGTTACTGTTTTTACCAAATACTTAGATAAAAAACTAAGAAGTAGTATTTATATTAGGTACTAATGGAAATGAAGTAAATATAATTTTTTTTAAATTATGCAGTCCAAGAGCACAGCTCGAGGACAGCATACACTCATTGGATTGGTTCTTCAAATAGAAGTTGACTGGCCTCTGAAGGAGAGTCTCCTTTCTATTGGAGGCATAGGAAAAAGAAACCATTTCTTAAGTAAAAACAAAACCAACAACAGACAACTCCACCACCAAACTCCTGGCAGGAAAAGCATGGTGATCTCACTGCCACAGTGTGCCATCCGTCACCGCCTGCTGCTGAGGTTGGTGTTACCTGAGTACCATGAGTGCTAAAGGAGCACGTTGGGCTGCGGGGCTTCTGTGACTTGACACTATATTAGAATTTGACCTATGGAGTAGTAGTATCATGGTTTAATGTAGAGGTTTTTGGTTGTTGGAAGTCGGGGCATAGTACCCTGTTCTTTCTGAGCTCACAGATTTGTTCCACAGAGAAATCACTGTGAAGCTTTATAGGTCGAATGCAGCTTCCTGTTTGGTCTCTGAAAGGCTCTCAACTCTCAATTTACAAAGCAATTCTACTTATTTAGAATGGCATTTGATATTTTGTGTAAAGTATGTTTATTGTAAGACAATGAATGTCTAAGAGTTCTCGTCAGTGCTTATATGTAATTAGAAGCATGTAATTTCAGAAGTGGCTGAACAATTTCTGGATGTATGCTGTCTTCAGGTTCATCTAATCAGAGGGGTGAAGTACAATGGTTTCCCCCATTCCTGTGAGCTACACAGCATTTTCCAGGTGGGCGAATGGACGCTGATGATAGCTCTCTTCTTTCTGACAGTCTAGGTTTGAACTCTGGGCTTGCATTTACTAGAAAGGTGCTCTGCCCCTTGAGCCATGACCTCAATTGCTTTAGTTATTTTTCAGGTAAGGTTTTAGATTGTTGCCTGTTGACCTCTAATGATGATCCTGTTCCTTGTACCTGCTGTGTAGGGTTATAGGTGTGAAGTGCTATACCTGGCTCGTTTATTGAGATATGGGGGGGGGCATGTTTCTCACTTTTTGTCTGTGCCAACCTTCAACCCTGATTCTCTCACTCTTTCCCTCCTCAGTGGGGAAGATTACACATACAGTCTCCATAGCCAGTCCAACACTGGTGCTTCCTAACATCACCCCAATCCCATCTGTAAATCAGAAACAAAGGCCTGAGGAATTTTGACTTGTAAAGTGTGATTGTGAACTAGAAGCTTGCTGTAGAGCCTGTCTTCTGGGGTTTATAGGAATGGGTGCATGTGTAAGTAAGATTTTGTAAGACTAATTCCATTACTTTTGAGACTGAGACCTATTTTATAATTTAAAGTATGAATTGGATCTCTCATAATTAATTATCTTATTGCTTCCTTGTCCCCCAGGAGAGTAAGTATATTAACCATTGGATGGGAAATAATTAGTCATACATAGTCTACAGTCTGAAATCTTTTTTTTGTCAGTTGTGGCACTTGAAATCAGGGCTTGGCACTGTCCCTGAGCTTTTCTGCTGAAGGCTAGCGCTCTACCACTTTGAGCCACATCACCACTTCTAGTTTTCCTGGTGGTTCATTGGAGACAAGAGTCTATGGACTTTCCTGCCCAAGGTAGCTTCAAACTGGGGTGCTCCTATCAGTCTCCTAAGAAGCTAGGGTTATAGGTATGAGCCACCAGCACCCGGCCCTACAGTCAGAAATCTTAATGACTCCTGTTGTTTCTTTCTTATTCCTATGGAATGTTAAATGCTTGGTAATGTTCATTACCCTGGAATAACAGAACCACTGTCTGACATTGCATGCTGTTTGGAGCTTGCCACGCTTGGTGGTGGTGGTGGTTTTCTGGGGGCTCCTAGCACTGGGCATGTGTCCCTCTCGTTGCTCTGATTTACTGTAGACGGGGCTCTGGTGGCGTCTCCTGGAGTCACCAACTCCACCAGCACCAGTCCTAGCAGCATACACGAGAGGCCCCCAGCAGATCCCTCTAGACCGTGGCTAGACTTTACGGAGGCTGATCCTCTAGCTGTCTGCAGCCTACATTGTACCAGAATGCCAGCTCTGGGGGACAACACAGCACTGGGCTGATTTGCACACTTTCAGGTACTTGAGGCCTACTTATGAGGGAGGTGAGAACCTTCCCGAAATGGAAGTTTCCAGATGCCAGCCAGCGCCCAGCCCCACGTAGTCTCTCCAAGGATAGCATCACAGCCCACAGTGCTGATTCTGTTTTGTTCAAAGGCGGTGCAACATGGATACTATTGTCTGCCAGACTACTACCATCACTTTAGAACATGGGAGCAAATCCACTGCTCATTCTGTCTGGCTAACAAATATATTATCAGTTATCAGTGTTGACTTCATCTGTTGAGCGGCAGGACTGAGTTTGACCTCCATCTAGGATGCTGTCACTGAACTTTCTTGCTCAAGGCTAGTGTTCTACCACTTGAGACTCAGCTCTACTTCTGGCTTTGGATGATTAATTGGAGATAAAGCATCTCAAGGGCCTTTCCTTTCTTGGACTGGCTTTGAACTTCAGTCCTCAGGTCTCAGCCTCCTGAGTGGCTAGGATTACAGACCTGAGCCACTAGCCCTTGGCTCAGATATTATTATTATTATTGTTATTATTATTTTGTTATTGTTGTTAGTCGTGGGGCTTGAACTCTGGGTTTGGCCACTGTCCCTCAGCTCTTCAGCTCAAGGCCAGGGCTCTACCACTTGAACCACAGCACCACTTCCAGGTTTCTAGTGGTTAGTTGGAGATAAGAGTCTCAGGGACCTGCATGGGCTGGCTTTGAACCATAATCCTCAGATCTCAGTCTCCTGAGTAGCTAGGATTATAGGCGTGAGCCACCAGAGCCTAGCTCAGATACTATTTTTTAATAGAAATAAAAAAATACATCTACAAAGTATAAATGAATATATTGAGACTTAATTGTCTTCATTTCTTCGCTTAATGAACATCTCATAAGCATAGAACTTCAGCAGGCTTTTATGTGCCTCCTGTTCACCTAGCTCTTCTAGAGTCTAGGGATGTGAACTAAGCCAAACATGCTTCCTGCCATGAAGTGGGTGGTATCCTGGCAAAGGGGATAAAAATGTGAATAAATTTATTTCTATAAGATGATACGGGGAACGTGCGTTTATAAAAGATCAGCCCCCTGATTTCTACCTTTCAGGAAGCTAGGGTTATAAGTTCAGGTCATCACTCCTGGCTAGTTCCTTTTTTTTTTGGTAGTTACTCATGTGCTTATTGTTTACCTGTATCCTTATAGAGGTGCAGTGTTTGACTACATCACACATCTAGCTGTGTGACCTTGAGTGACTATGTTACCTTTTAGTGCCTCTGGCTACTCCTATGTAATAGTAATGGTAGTTGTAGTAGTAATGCTTAACTCCATAGGGGACTTGTGAGGATCAAATGGGTTAATAAAAGTAATTGGCTTGAACAGAGTAGACTGTAGTCACGCAATAAATGTTAGCTGTTGGTGGAATAGGTTGTAGGTTTGAACTTTAAAAGAATTTACCTCGCCTTTAAATGGCTTTTTCAAAAAGGGGGGGATGAATTTCCTATACACTCTTTACTTAGACTAAGTTTTAGCTTATGGAAAACCTTTTTTACTACTTAATGTACTTGTGGGTGATTCCTTTAAATCACAGTTGTTTGAAGTTAAATTGCACATGTCACAATACTTCTGTACATATACCCTAAAAATAACCACAAAGCTATTTCATACCCACATGTGGAAGAATGATGATAAAGATATTTAATGTACAGGCTAAGTTAAGGTTTTTCCTAAAAATGTCTTTTGTATTTTTTTCTTCCTTTTTTTTTTTTTAAAACCCTTTCTTTAGTTGTCTTGACTTCAGTCCCTTAGTCTTCATGCCTTAACAGTTCTCTTTTCTTTCCTGTCTTTTCCAGACCTTGACACTTTTGAAGCGTTTAGGGTAATTGCTTTGTAAAACTGCATGTAGAGATTAAACTGTAGAAACCTACTTAAACAGTATTTCCTCTCCATAGTTTTCACTTAACCTATTACAATTTGGAATTTTGAGAAGGTGAATAATGAAGATATTTGTGTAGAAAATCACTAAAAATAGATGTTTTGATCAGAATATTCTAGGAGATAAAAGATTAAGTTTTTAAAGAAGAAAATGTGATTAGGTAGAAAAGTTGTTTTGTTTGACAAAGGCTTAGGTTTTTCTGTTTCGTTTTATTAATGCTTCGATACTGACTGAGCTCTCCCTGAACTTCCTTTTGTCATCACAGAAGCCATAGAACATTCCCCTTTAGCAAATCAAAATGGTAACTTTTTCTTTGGACTTTACTGGCAGGACTTTGAATTACCACTTTTCTAGTGTTCTGAAGAAAGATAGTTACATGAAATCGATCCATAAACTCATCTATCATTTATTCATTCACTAATTCATTCACAGTCATCCTATCAAGAGAAGCAAAAGGAAGAAAAGAGGCCACATTGTCTTTGACCAAGAAAATGTCATATGAATTCCTCTTGACTTTATCTGTTTAAATGATATCTCTTCTTTTTTGAAGGAAAATTCTGAGATCTCTACACTCAACTGCCCCACTATTCTTGCTCCCAAAAGTGAACGAAGAACTTGAATAAGTGTCTTTATGATGCTGTCATTTTCCTTCTCTTGGTATATGGTACATGGTGGACCTTTCCATTTCCAATTACATTTATTTTTAATTTTTCAATTGCTTCAAGTATATGTTTTATTTATTGCTTGTTTAATTTATTCTCTTTTTCAGAGACATTTGACATTTGAGTCATAGCACTTCCTTGTAAATCTGTGAGCATTGATTCACTTCAGATTTTGGCCAAGTTCCAACATTTAGCGCATTTCTGGAATCTGCTTCCTATTTCACCGATCCAATTTTCTGCTGTACTGATTCTTCTAATGCTGCTTCTGATGCTGTTATTACTTGAGCTGTGACCAAATTTGTCCTGTGCTGGTTTGGGAGCTCAGTCCCTGTTCTCCTTTGTCTTTGTAGCTCACATTGTTTTCAGAATGATCCTTCCAAAACACAGGTTTGGTGATACAACATTCCCGTGAGAAACTCTCAGTGATTACATCAGAAAATGATATTCTGAGTCTTTAATGTTCTGAGCAAAGTCTTCTGTCCCCTGAGTGTACCAACTGTTACTCTAGTTTTATAGTTCCTTGCACCTCCATTTTTGTTGTTTTGTGTTGTTACACCTCAAGCCACCTAGGAAGCTGTTTACCCACCAACAGTGCCCATGAGCTCCCTGACCCCTCCTCCACCCAAACCCAGCCCAGTCACTGTGACACCCCACCAGTGTACCTGGTGCTCACTCTTAGCCTGCCTTTCTGATGGTTTGTTTCTACCTACCGGAGCAAAGCAGGACAGGGCGTCCTGTGACACTGCGGACAGGGTCTGCTCTGTGATGGTTTATATCCCTAATACCCAGAGGTACCTGGGGGTTTGTGGGGGTTTTTGGTTTTATTTACTTCTATCATACGATATTTCTCTTTACCCTTTTTTGTAAGGGAAATAATTGTATTGTAGTCAAGCTGTGTTTTTCTTTTTTAACTTTATATGTGTTTTCTTACACATGGTGTACTAATCCTCAAGATTAGTATACTCGCAGTAACTCACTCTAAATTGCTGCACAGATCTCAGTCCTGGGTCTGGGTTGAAGAGCCCCTGTATAATCTCACGTCAGTGAGGTCAGGTCTACCAGGCCTGACTTCTCTAGCCTGCTTGTTTGGTTCTCAGCCGGAGCAGTGCTAGGCTTTGACAATGTAGTCTTCCTGCACAGGCTGGCATTTGAAAAGCAGATGAGTTCAGCCAGGGTGGTTTTCTTCTCTTGCCCTAGGTTATGTTGCATCTCAGTTTTTAAACACTCGAGGAGGAGGGGTTTTATTGAATTTTTTAAATGGTAGGCTTTTTTTTCTTTTTCAGAAAAACCCCAATATAGAAAATGATTAAGATGAATGAAAATTCTTCAATACCTTTCCATTTAGGGATAGCACATTTAGAATATATTTTTTACATACCTATGGGTACTACTTCATTAATGGCATTGTAGACTCATGCTGCTCTGTAGCTTCTTGTGTTTCTGCTCAATAATGTGTTTAGAAGGTGTTATACTTCATTATTGTCATTTAATCAGCAGTTTCCTATAGCTGAATATATGAATTCCTTGTCAATAATGCTGTGATAAACATTTATCATAACTTTTTTACATTACAGCTATCACCTTGAGGATTCTTTTCAGGGGACATGTATGTTATTTATTTTTTGCCAGAATGTTTTTTGAAAAGTATTTTCATCAGCTGTGCATGAAAACACTTCTTGCCATCTCTGTATCCAAAGCTACATTTTTGTCATTTTTTTCTTGAACCAAAGATTCTCAATTTACAATTCTAATTTCATGTCTGTCCTCTAAATTCTCACACTCCTATCAGCAACTTACTTGGTATTTATTTGCTTTTTTTGTTTTATTTCTGATTCTTGAACATATATAGCCATGTTTTATAAACATAATTTTAAAAATCCTTTTAAGGAAGTGGCGCTGTAGCTCAAGTGGTAGAGCGCTCGCCTTGAGCTGAAGAGCGCAGGGACAGCGACCAAGTCCAGAGTTCAAGCCCCACGACCGACAAAAAAAAAAAAAATCTAAAAAATCCTTTTAAATGTGTCGATTAAACTAGAGATTAACAATGGAAATAGGAAGCACTTAAATTTTCATTTGTTAAATGAATGTTGATTTTCCGTGGAGTCAGATTACTTTTGAAATTTGATATAAGTTTTTCACTCTTTTAGCCATACACTTCAGAAATTTTCCGAGGATTAGCATGAATTATTACTGTGTTTGTTTTTGGTTAACAGTCCTAGGGTGGTTGAACTCAGGGCCTGTACATTGTTCCTGAGCTTTTGTACTCAAGGCTACCACTTGAACTCCAGCTCCAGCTTTTTGGTGGTTAAATGGAGATAAGAGTTTCATGGACTTTCCTGCCTGGGCTGGCTTCTTCAAACCACAATCCTCAGCTCTCAGCCTCCTAAGTAGCTAGAATTTCAGTCATAAGGCACCAGCATCTGATAGCTTTTTTTTTTTTTTATCGGTGATGGGGGCTTGAACCCTGGGTCTGGGTGCTGTCCCTCAGCTCTTCAGCTCAAGGCTAGCGCTCTACCACTTCCGCCACAGAGCCACTTCCGCCTTTTTCTATTTATGTGGTGCTGAGGAATCGAACCCAGCGCCTCATGCATACAAGGCAAGCACTCTACCACTGAGCCACCTTCCCAGCCCTCATAAATTGTTTTTAAAAGCTACCAGAGAAAAAGATACTATTAAATAATTCCCAAATATTGGTTAATTTTGTCAGTTTATTAGTTTCTACTGGAACACAAGAGGTTCAGTTATCGGTGTGCCATACAGGCATTGGTTATCTGGGTTTATGACAGGCTTGTTAATGTGGGTGTCACAAAACAAAAATTGCTACCGCCCCAGGACAGCACTTTTAAAATATAGATTTTTAACAAAAAGTATTACATCTATGTAATCCCATCAAAAAGTTTAGAAAAAGTTTTGATTATTCCTTTTTTTTCTACTCTGTTCTACCAAGGTTCCATTTTGCTAAACATTCTTGATATATACTTTTCAAAAAGAAATTTATGATGATTTAGTCTCATCTTAAACAGAAATTTAAATTTCATTTTTCAGATGTAGATTTTAGTTCTGTAGCTTATACGTGGTTGTGCTTTAATTTAGGTTTAGTGAAAATAACACCTTCTTTGAAGCCAAATAACTAAAAGAAAACGTACATGTACCCAATTCTATATAAAAGTTAGCAAGTTTTGGTAATGATATATTAGGTCAGGCTTCCTTTTCTGCTGAGGGCCATTGAAGGGCACAGTTTGTACCCTTCGGTGTAATAATACACTTTTATACATGTGAGTGTGTGTGTGTGTGCGCGCGCGCGCGTGTGCGCACACATGTGTGCATGTGTGTAATGTAGGTGCCAGCCAGTAATTGATCTCAAGGCCTGGAACTGGGCTTTCATGCAGATGGTGATGCTCTACTGCTTGACCCACACCTCCAGTCTAACTTTTTGCGGGTTAATTGGAGATGGAGTTTTACAGACTTTTCTGCTTAGACTGGTTTCAAACCTCAATCATCCAGGACTCAGTCTCCTGAGGAACTAGAATTATAGGCAGGAGGCACTGCTGCCTGGTTCGCTTTCACTAATGAAAATACAAAAATGATGAAGAAAAAAAAGGATGTGTAGAAAAAGGTCTTTGAGGTGCTGGGAAAGTGGCTCAGTGGTAGAGTGCTTGCCTTGCATGCCTGAGGCCCTGGGTTCGATTCCCCAGCACTACATAAGCAAAAAGAAAAAAAAAAAAAAGAAAAAGGTCTTTGAAATGCCCTAGTAATTACACTTTAAATCTTAGGTAACTGTTGCAGCATGAGTTTTTTTACGTGTGCTTTTTCTCATTGCTTATTTTTGCATATCCCCCCCAGGTTGTTTCAGATTGGGCTTACACTTAGTATTCTATTTTGTAACATGAATATTTTCACTTAAAATATATTATGAGCATCTGACACATTGTTCTGTATCAAATCTTTACTTTTAATGTTGCTAATTTGAGAATCACTGTGTCTTTGAAGACTAGAGTTAAGGTGTCTTTCTTTCGTTCTTTCTTTTTCTTTTTTCTCCCTCCCTCCCTTCTTCCCCCCCCCCTTTCTCTTTCTTTCTTTCTTGTTGGTTGTGGGGCTTGAACCCTGGTCCTGGGCGCTGTCCCTCAGCTCTTCAGCTCAAGGCGAGAGCTCTACCACTTGAGCAACAGCACCATTTCCAGTTTTCTAGTGGTTAATTGGAGATAAGAGTCTCTGGGACTTTCCTGCCAGGGTTGGCTGTGAACCGCGATCCTCAAATCTCAGCCTCCTGAGTAGCTAGGATGACAGGTGTGAGCCACTGGTGCCCACCCAAAGAGGAACCTTTTTAAGGATCCAAGAGCATGTATACAACACCAAACTTAAGTTGAAGTTGAATGATGCAGAGGTAAAGATGATAGATAAAATCTAGCCTGTGTACTTACAGAAGTCTGTGGAGCACGGACACACCTTTTTAACATGTCCTGTCCCCGGTGTACTTTGTAACTGACAGAGAACATGACCCTCTGAGTGGAAGACATCCTCCTGTTGCTGAGGTGCTAGGAGAAGTATCACACAGAAAATGACAGCATTGCTTGATTATTGCAGCCTGTGTTTTTCTAAATTTCAAGGAGAATACCAAATACACTGGACAAGAATTTAAATATATAAATTATTTTTTAAGTTGGGCACTGGTGGCTCACGCCTGTAATCCTAGCTACTCAGGAGGCTGAGATCTGAGAATCACGGTTCACAGCCAGCCCAGGCAAGAAAATCCGTGAGACTTTTATCTCCAATAAACCACCAGAAAACTGGAAGTGGTGCTGTGGCTCAAGTGGTAGAGCGCTTGCCTTGAGCTGAAGAGCTGAGGGACAGTGCCCAAGCCCAGAGTTCAAGCCCCACGACCGATAAAATAATTAATTAATTAATTATTTTTAAAAACTAGCGTGTTCCTGCTTGTTTGTATGAGAGCACTTCGAGGATAAAGTAGAAATGGACTTTGTAAATTTATAACATTAGATACACTTTTTTTTTGGGGGGGGGGGGAGGTTGGTCATGGGGCCTGAACTCGGCCTGGGTGCTGTCCCTCAGCTCTCCAGCACAAGGATAGCGCTCTACTGCTTGAGCCCAGAGCCACTTCCGGCCTTTTCTGCATATGTTGTGCTAAGGAATCAAATTCAGGGCTTTATGCATCCAAGGCAAGCACTCTACCACTGAACCACCTTACCAGCCCTAGATACACTTTTTTATGTCTATGTGTATGCCAGTCTGGGAACTCTGGACCTGGGTACTGTCCTTGAGCTTTTGTGCTCAAGGTAAGCACTCTACCACTTGAGCCACATCTCTGCTTCCAGCTTTTTGGTAGTTAATTGGAAATAAGAATCTCACAGACTTTCCTACCCATCACCATGTGGCTTCGAACCATAATCCTCACATCTCAGCCCCCTATGTGGCTAGGATTACAGGTGTGACCCACCCCCCCCCATCTGGCTTAGGTACACTCGAATAGACTGAAAGTAGAATAGAAATAATGAGGTGGTATTTGAAACATGATGAGTAATACCACATTGTTAGCTTAAACCTGAGTTAGCTGATGTTCTTTCAAATTATTGTTAGAAGGTTCTGCTCAACCTAACTATCCCTGGAACTCTTCTTTCAGCTTGTAAGAGCTCTTACTCATGCACAAGAAAGGCACATACACAGACAATACACAGAAAGTGACAGGCATTGTGGGAGTGGGGACACTGGCAATCCTGCCTGGCTTAGTGTGCCCAAGCTCACAGTGAGGGTTGGAGATGCACTCCCTGGATTCACACACTGGAACTTTGGCCAAGTGACAAAACCTCTCCTTTTTATCTGTACAGTTTAGATAAGATAATACCTTTGCATAGCTTGTCATGAGAATGATCAAAGCATATGTGTGGATCATACATCTGTACTGCTGCTACCAGTGCTGACATGACAGTCCCTGTCAGCAATCTCCTCTGGCCGTGCAAAATCAGGCCCACAATATACTGCACTGCATAATTATTGTGCCTACAATCATTTGTTGTTATCTTCTTTTGTTAAAATATTTTGATTTCCTTTTCCTGTTACAGTTAAATGGTTTAAAAATATTCGGTCACTAGCTTCTATATTTAAATGGACATCTAACAGCTGTGTTTTGTTTCCTGTGGTTTTTTTTTAGGCAAAGTCATTAACAAAGATTTGCGACATTACCTGAGCCTTCAATTCCAGAAAGGATCAGTTGATCACAAACTGCAGCAAGTGATCAGAGATAATCTCTACTTGAGAACCATTCCATGTAAGTATGTGATAATATGAGCTATCCTTACTTAACTAAGTGAACGTCTAGAAATTATTCAGAACATCTCAGATGAATTTGGGAAGACCAAGTTGGTGAATAAGAATGGAACAAAAAGCTGGGTGCTGGTGACTCATCTGTAATCTCAGCTCCTCAGGAGGCTGAGATCTCAGGATCATAGTTCAAAGTCAGCAGGGGCAGAAAAGTCCATGAGACTCTTAGCCCCTATTAACCATCCAGAAAAGGAAGAAGTGGAGTTACCGTTCCAAGTGGTAGAGTGCTGGCTTTGAGCAAAAACTCCCAGGCATAGTGCCATGCCCTGAGTTCAAGCCGTAGGACTAGCAAGTGCACATACACAAGAAAGAAAGATTGGATAAGAAGAAAATCTTTAGAGAACTTCGGGAGTTTGCTTTATAAAATTACAAAGAATTAGAAGATTCTGTATTGTGACTTTTAAAAAATTGTTTAGAATTTAAAATTTTATTTACTATATGGAAATGTCATGGGAAATCCTTATGCTGTACAATTGAATATACTCTTAAAAATGTAGTAAAGTACATATTTGCCTGTTAATTAGATTTTATTTCTACGAATCAAATTGTAAAATCTCTGTAGTACAATTTTAGCTCTTAATAGTATGTGCCTGGAGAGCAGCTTTATAATGTACCCTCCACCTGGGTAGGACAAAGGACAAAAAGGAAGAAGCACAAAGAAACCTTTCTACCATTCATTCTGAACTTCACCTAGCTAGAGGTCTTGATATTTCTCAGAGGACCTGATGAATCTTGAACACATAGCAGGAAATGCTTAAGTTTGGCTTTAGTCAACACAGGTCTTGGAAAGAATGCAGAGCAGCAAACAATAAAGGTCACAGAAGGGCCTTCTCTGAGTTTCTTTCCAGTGTCTGCAACCATTTGTGGATACCAATTTCCTAAGGGTATGGACCTGTTGATTTCCTTTACTTGTTAATTTTATATAATGTCCAATCTATTACCAAGGCTTCTTGATTGTGTTTTTTAATACCTGTCCCTCTGCACTTCCCCGAACCCTTACCCTTTCTTACTTGAACTGTTTTTCTTCTGTTTTCCTTTGTGAATATATTATTTATAAACAGTGTATGTAATGGTAAAGATGATTTGTTTAGCAGTACTGGGGTTTGAACTTAGGACAACCTCTCTATTGCTAGGCTGACACTTTACAACTTGAACCAGTTCCGGCTCAGACTCTTGAGTCTAACATCTTACTCTCTACTTCATATGGGCAAATTATGGTATGTTTCTGAACCTCAGAATCTCCATACTTAAAATAAGCACAACATGACTTACTTCATACAGTTACTAGAATTACAGTGAGAACAGTATGTAAACCACTTAACCGGGCATTCAAGGTGTCCTGCCTTTCATGTCACCTTGTCACCTGAATGTAGCCTATTTTCTTTTTTTAAATACATTCTTTCTTTTTAAACCACAGGCCTGATGATTGTCATTTTGTATTTTATCCTTCAAAGACCCATTAGCTGGGTGCTATGGCTCACACTTACAATCTTAACTTCTGCTGAGACAGAGATCAGGAAATCATAGATTGAAGCCAGCCTAGATAAAGCAGGTTTGAAGACCCCATCTCAGCAACAACAACAACAAATTAGGTGTGATGGTTGGTCCACACCTGTCACCATAGCTACATGGAAAGTGTAAATGGGAGATTCACAGTCCACATGGACTTGGCATAAATGAGAGACTTCTCTGCCTAGACTGGCTTTGAATCATGATCCTCTGGATCTCGGCCTCCCGAGTAGCTAGAATTATATGTGAGCCACCAATGCCAGATGAAGCTGTCTTTATATTTTTTGATAGAACATTATCTTTAGCCTCACATCTTTCATATTTTTCTATCTTCTTTTACCTTATGTCACTTTTATATCATAAGCCTTTTACTCTATAGCTTGTTGTTCATCTGTTCTCTTTCTTTAAACAGCTTCCATCTTTATCCTTATGGTTAGTTCTACATTTTTATTTAATATTCCTCATTTTCCTCTCTGTTTATTTTTGTCCTGACTATAAGAAACACTGAATTAAGGGTAAACAAAGGAGGAGGCTGCAATGCTTGATAAGAAATGTACGCATTTTCCTGCCCATGTAATTGTAACCCCTCTGTACAGTATGTTCACAAAAAAAATAAAATAAAATGAAAAAAAATAAAAATTATTATTAATATCCAAAAAAAGAAATACTGAATTATCTATTGATCTCTTCTTTCTCTGTTCTCCCCCATAGTTGACTTGAAGTAACATCTTTTTACTAGCAGCAATTGAAATAAATCAATAAGCATAGTCTACTTTGTACCTGTTTTTTTCATTCTTTTCCTGTTTTGTGTGTGTGTGTGTGTGTGTGTGTGTGTGCTCACACATGCGTGCGTGCATGCATGTGTACTTGGGTGTGCATGTGTGCTTGCGTGTGGTCCTAGGCTTGAACTCAGGGCCTAGGCACTATCCCTGAGCTTTTTGCTCAAAGTCTGCACACTGTTTGACTCCAGTTGCACTTCTTTCTCTTTTGGGAGGTTAATTAGAGTTAGGAGCCTCACAGACTTTCCTGCCAGGACTGGCTTTAAACCATGATCTTCAAATCTCAGCCTCTTTGAGTAGCTGGGATTACAGATGTGAGCCAATGGCACCCAGCTGCCCTACTCTTTGATACTTGAGTTATATGCATGTTTGCAAGCCATTACATGACTGTACTCTTATACTGATTCATTATTCTGTAAGTACATGTGTACTCTTACCACCAGTTCATTGTTTCTTGAGTAATTGTGGATATCTAAAGCTTGTTCTCTACTAGAGTTCCCAAGGAAAATTCCCAGAATTATCTTAGTAGTTTGTCTGTGACCTTCATACTTCGTATTTGTTTTGAAGTACGGTAGTAGCTCATGCATGTGATAATAGCTGTTCGGGATGCAGAGATCGCGAGGTTAGTGGCTAAGGGCAGCCAGGTAAAAAGTTTGAGATCCCATTCCGTCCAATTCTGGGTACTCATGAGTCTGAGATCTGAGGGCCACAATTCAAAGTCAGCCCCCTTAGATAGAGGCATGGCTCTAGAACGGGGCTGGGGGGGAGAGATCCAGTCAAGTTCAAACCCTAGTACTTGGGGGTAGAGGGGCAGGGAGCTGGGTGCAGTTGAGATCTGTCATATAAGCCACACAGGAAACAAATATAAGTCACTGCCAGGCTAATGGGGGCAAAAAGCATGACCCTGTTCTAAAAATAATGAAAGCAAAGGGGACTGGGAAGTGGCTCAAGTGGTAGAGTACCTATTTAACTTCAAACCCCAGTATTTACCCGCCCCCCTCCAAAAAAAAGTCTGAGAGCAGTCTGATTTTCATTTCAGAGGTAAAGTTGTTCTTCCTTTGTTAAAACAGAGTAATAAAAAGAAAGCTGTGCTTCCTAAGACCTATCTCCTTACTGTCTGCTGCCTCCATCACATGGGTCTTTTAAGTTACTTTATTGTCCCAGTTTTGTAGTTTCTCCTCAGTGTGAAGTTTTGTCCTAGAGAAGAGCTACAGTTTATATATAGTTTTTGTTCATAGGGTCCACGCAGCTGTACCTCTTCAGATCTTAATAGCTCCACTTAGCTGTCTGACAAACCCAAATGCTTTAAACTGCTCTGAACCTAGAAGCAGTTAGCCCACTGAATGGCCACGTCTGGTCTCTTAGCATTCTTTACTGAAAGATTGCAACTCTAGAAGGCAGTGGTGTTCTTCTGTCATCCTAGCTCTCCGGGAGGCTCAGATCAGGAGGACTACAGTTCTAAGCCAACCTAAGCAGAAAAGTCTGTGAGCCTCCATTTCAATGGAAGTGTGGTATGCTAGCATGTATCTGTCATCCCAGTTACAGTGGGAATCAGACAGCAGGTGGATTGCAGCACAGGGGCCTGGGAATAAGTGAGACCTATCGCAAAAATAACCAGTACAAAAAAAGGCTAGATGCATGGCTTAGCGGGAGAGTACTTGCCTAGCAAGTGAGTTCAAACATCAGTACCACTTCTGCCTGCAAAAAAAAATTCTAAGTCTACTTGGGCAATAAAACCTGATTCCCAAGGCTGGGAAGGTGGCTCAGTGGTAGAGTGCTTGCCTCGCATGCATGAGGCCCTGGGTTCAATTCCTCAGCACCACATAAGCAAAAAAAGCCATAAGTGGTGCTGTGGCTCAAGTGGTAGAGCACTAGCCTTTAGCTGAAGAGCTGAGGTACAGTGCCCAGGCCTAGAGTTCAAGAAAAAAAAACAACAAGAAAAAAAAAAAAACCTGATTTGAGGTCTGAGACAAGAAAGTGTAAATGAGGTTAGAATACCTAATTGTACCAGAAAGTATATAAATGCTTTCTAGTTACATATCAGAAGTACTTTATCAGCCACCTAGTAGAGACACTTACTGACCAAAATATGAGGATTTTTTGAACAAGAAAATAGAGAGAGGAGCAGCAGACAGACAGGTCTTTTTATTCTTTGATAACAGACTTCAGTAGAATAGGACTAGGATTTCTGAGAAAAGAGGAAAGGAGACTGTGTTTTCTTCAACTTTCTGCCTGAAGGAATTTTCTGCAGGGAAGGCAGCCCAGGCAGAGTACAGCAGACACTGAGTTGTGAGAACAGAAATCTGAGTTTAGAAGTCTAAAGTATCTGGAATTTATAAGTGGAGAGACCTCTGAAGGAAAAAGCTCAAGTGATCAGCAGGGAGCACAGTAAGCTGGGAATGTGTAGGACAGGCCCACAGGCCAGACAAGAAGAGCTGAGGGTAATTCCCAGAGCTCACACAGGGCCAGAAGATGTTTGAGTTTTGACCAGTCTGATCAGGGAGTCCCACCAGCGTCCTACCTTACTACCAGGGCTAAAGTAGTGGATGAAAACTTGTAGGCCCATTTTAATGAAGTTAATTTTAAAACCCTCAAAGAATTGAATGGGTATGAATAGCATTTAACCTGACACACATAGAGAGACAGAACAAAATGGAGA